TTTTATTTTAAATGTGTATATTTATAATTTTATATAATTATATTTTTACAATTTTTAAGTTGTTAAAAACAGAAATTTTATTTGCTACATGGCAAAAAGTTTTATGGAAATATAGGTATAATTTACTTATAATAATCTTTTTACATTTTAAGAATGTTTATGTTTATCTTTTTAATTTTTTAGTTATTTAAACGGAAAAAACTATTTGATACATTGTAAAATCTCGGATCGATAGAATTGATACGTGTTATAATTATATGAGTTACTTACTTTTAAAACCATACTTTATATAATATATAATAAGATATGATTTTGTAACTTGTCAAAAAAAAAAAAAAAAACATGATTGTAAAAGAAAGATAAGTCCACCTAAACCTTGACAGGACAATCAATCTTCTAAAGCGAAAATATTTGTCTCTTACATAAGTCTAGTACATTTATCTTGTTCTTTTTTCCTTTTCTTAGTTTCTCAAGTTTTTTTGTGTGGTTAAAGGTCTCGATTGTAATTATAGGAGTCATACATGTAATTATGGGTCAACACAAATACATGTAAATATTATTGTCTATTATCGAACGCTTCAAGACTTTTAAAATTTTAGTGATGTTTTTATTAATTTTGTTATGAGCGATTTAGCTATATGTAATTTGTAAAAAAAAAAAAAAAAGCTTGTTTGTCTCTGAGAGACTGAGACTACAAGAAGTAAATCCACGCGCACAAAAGGTACGTTGAGTGCGTGAGACTAAAACCCTTGAACGTCTAACCCACCATATTGAGTTTTTTTTTTTTTTCGCATAAATAAAAAATTGAGATGGCCGAGTGCGCGTGGTTGGGCCGGCCATATTTCCAGGGACGTAACACACAATTTTTTTTTTTTTTTTCTAAAATTAAGACAAATTATTATTATTATTATTATTATTATTTTTTTTAATAGTTAATAATATATTGATGAAAAACGAAAATCACCCCAATTGGGCCTGGGCTAAGGCCTTACAAATCTTTCAACGGTTACAAAAAGGAGAAAACAATTTCCGATGAAACTCCGGCGGAAGAGATCTGAACCGGCCACGCAGAGAGTGACCTAATTATACCGGAAATACAAGATCCAGTGATTTGCGATTCAAACGACAAGAACAAAATCAGAGATTGGAATATTTGGATCCTTTCTCAGATCTTAGACCGCCGACGAGTCAAGACCCTCACCAAACCTCCCGGAATAGAACCACCTCCGACAGACCGTAAGACAAATTATTAGTCGAATCATTTTATCTTTTTGACATTTTCAAGTTAAATTTATTTTGTAATAAACGTGCTATATACTAAAACTTGAACAGAAATAAATCAGTTACAAAGTGGACAGACCTAACCACTAAACTACTAAATGTCAGACAGACTCAGACATTTTACATATTTCTATATCTCAACATTCATTAGATTTTTAAATACGCCAATATCTAATTTTGGCCACATCTAATTTTGTTTTTATTGAATAAATATTGTTTGACAAAGGGAAAATTTGTGTTGATTATGGTCCATAGACACAGGGACAGGGTCATGTCATGGGGATCAGCAGAACCGTGTAGGAGCTTTTACAAAATCATGCCAAGTCAGCTACCAATTATCTGACGTGGCACTTCTGACCTCTTCTACGCTTTTGACTTCCTCAAGACTGGAAATATTCAACCCTTTATGTTCCATTAAGATGCAAACAAAAAGAAAAACAAAACAAAAACATTTTAATGTAAAGTAATTTCTTCTACTTATTTATCTTAAAAAAAGAGTAATTTAGTCTCTAAATTTTTGTTTACTAAAGAAAACAAAATACAACAACGTGAGCACCACCTAGATGTATCTATAATCTATCTCAACAATTTAATCAACCATAAACGTGAATAAATTGATGTACGAAAAGTAAATAATAAGTTGGAAGTCGTAGTTAAAAGCGAGTTATTTCACACGACTGGAAAACTTTTAATCTTGGGTAAACCAAACCAAATCTTGGTAAGAAACAGACTAGAAGAAACATACATACAAAAAATATAATAATCAATACTAACAATCAAGTAGCCAAAGTTTACCACTTTTTAAGTAGGTTTACTCTGCCTTCTTCATTTGACTTTTCTCGCTCCTTCTTTAATACATACACAAATCATATATATACAAGTACTCATGTACCCTCCCTTTTCCCCTAATCATCACATAATCATTGTTCTTCACTAAAATCATCATCACACACACATACACATATATCTCTCTCTTTATATATACTATTCATCTCAAAGTGGATTCTATGGATAATAGATCGCCAAGATCAAGAGGAATCTTGGGTCCGAGACCAACACCATTGAAAGTCCGTGGAGATTCGCACAAGATCATCAAGAAGCCACCACTGCCGCCTCAGCCGCAACCACAACCACTACAAATCCATCAGCAAGAACCGTCGGAATCGCAGCCTCCACGTGGTCCCGTTATCATATACACCGTATCTCCCAAGATTATCCATACACACCCTAATAACTTCATGACATTGGTTCAACGTCTCACAGGTAAAACCTCTACCTCCACAAACTCCTCCTCCTCCTCTTCATCTACGTCAGCACCAAAAGACAAGTCAACAACGATTGATACATCTCATGGTTTGATATCCCCGGCGGCTCGGTTTGCTGTTACAGAGAATGCTAATACATCAAACGAACTAGGGACATTTGTGGGAGGCGTAGGGGCTATGGATCAATATTATTATCATCATCAACAACAACATCAAAATCGAGGGTTCGAAAGGCCAAGTTTTCACCATGCTGGGATTTTATCACCGGGACCTACTTCTCTGCCGTCGATATCACCGGACTTCTTTTCCACGGTTGGACCAACCGATCCACAAGGTTTTTCGTCGTTCTTTAATGACTTTAACTCTATCCTTCAGAGTAGTCCATCGAAGATACAGTCTCCTTCTTCTATGGACCTTTTCAACAATTTTTTTGATTCTTGATTGAGTTATTATATCTAGTTGAACTAATTTACGAGTCTTATAGGAAAAACAAAAAAGGATATATTTTACGTTTTTTCATCATTTTTAGGGACACTCCGATGGAGTTAGAGGGTTTCTACTTCTGCATTTCGTGATGATGACGTCATTTGTTTACATCAATGTGCCAATTTGATGATATGTGTATTCTTGTTTGGTGGGCTTCCCACATATACTTTAAAAGTTTATGTTCAATGAATCTTGTCCCTCTCCTTAACTGCTATGTGCTCATCGGCTTATCCAATAGTGGGGCATTACATTAATTTACTTTGTATAATCTTCTGACTCTTGAGTTTGTAGGTAAATTTGGTTTTTGTTAGTATATAATATTCTTGAACATATGCGTGTGATTTGAAATCCAAATATAGATCGATTAAATCATTCAGTGGACTAAATGAAACTACTTTCACATGTGTTATTGACTTTTGTCGCCAAAAAAAGAAACAATTTATAAAAGAAAATGAAGAGCTCAAGGACAAAACAGTGACGATGAAACAGCGAGAGGGCAAAACATGCGGGACAGATGGGTAAATATGTGAGTTGGATTCGTTACCATTCGGTTTTCGACTTGTCCCAAACCGGGTGATTTTTTATGACAGTCGTATGTTATATTTCTTGACCTTAGATTGACCCTCCAACCACCATGTATCTGCTTGATGTTCCTAAAATCTTTTTTCGGCTGCAATTAAAAAAAAAAAAGCCACCACCTATTTCACTTCAGACTACTACACTGAGAGATTCATACTAAAGTCTTATCTTATATAGCCGATAATATGAGTAATACTAGTGAACTCTTGAATTAAGAAACTGTGAAGTTACAAGTACTCTGAAATGGTTATCAATCATCGATCTGGTTTCATTACAATATACTCACAACATGACGTATATATTGGTTTTGTGGATCTAAGTATCTAACTACAAATCATTAGTAAAATAAGAAAACTTCGCAGATTCTTGATCTAAAAGTTCATTAGTCTTAATCATATTATCGGCTGTACTATTGATCAATATTATCATCATCAACATCAAAATCGAGCAGCCAAGTTTTTAGTTTTTTTTTACTTGTTAATATAACCGGATTTTTTGCTACGGTAGGCATGACTCAAATAATAGGCGGGCTAAACCCACGATTAAGACCATCGAAATTCTAAATTTTATGGGGCCACAATGAAAAAGAATTGCAAGAACAAAAAAGGTTGTGCACTAAAATTGTGCATGTGCTAGAAGCATAGAACAGATATCAACAAATTCCTAGCTACATGTGCATAGAAAAAATCTAACTCTAGGACAAAGTTTCTCTCTTTGTGAAATCATTACCTTTTTTTTTCTCAAGAATCAAAATCACTTGATAATGCCACAAATCGAGTTCTTAGCACCAATGTCGAGGTTGATGTTAAAGGAGTGGCTGATGATGTAGGAGAGGTTGTTGCTGTTCGTGTATGCGTATTTTATTATGAGACAAGCGATTCCAAAACACTTCTTACGTATGAGATGTGAGGCCTATACATAGCATCTCCATCCAAGCATTCTCATCAATTGATTTCTTCGGTCTTGGATTCGTCTCCCTTGGAAGCTCAACCTTTTGTCCCTGATGAACACATAACCATAAAATTAGTCAATTATGTCACAGTCAGAATTATCTATAAGGATGGAGAAAAGCCATACTCCGATAACACGCACAGCTGTAGGACAATTTACTAATCTATCCAATGTCTCATATGGAAGATTAGCCGTTATAATATATATTCTAGAGAACAAATCCGAAACTGTATAAGGGTTAAAAATGTAACTACAATATTATTTTGGGGTAAAACAAATATATATCATAAAAATTATTTTCTAAGGACATAAATTTGGTAAAACAAAAGTGTAACTACCGTGTAAATGTTTTTAAAGTTAAACTCATTTTCTACCAATTTTAAAGTTAAAACTTATTTTCTACCAATTTTTACATAAGAATTAGCCCAAAATTCAAGGCCTCACTTAGTTGTTATTTGTACGGATCTATGAATTAACAGGCCCGTTAAATTGGCGCCAGAAGAAATTCCGGGTTTATTACAAAAAGGGTCTCGGGTCACTCAGATTCGGATCATTCGCTTCGGTTGTCGAAAGAGAATGAACCACGAGAAAACTCGAAACAATTGAAATTGAGCCGAATTAGAAATTTTGATCTGCACAAAGGAACGAACAAGTTGCTGGGTAGAGTTTTGTTCGATTTGGACCAAGTAGACCTGCCTCCATCTTCAAATTAAGGATTTTTATTTACTAATTTTAGACTTGTGATCTCTAAATTTGTTGTTTCCGTCGCCGTCCATGGGAGATGGGTACTGGAACCAACAGAGACAGTATCAGCCTCCATTGTCGTCGACCCCTCACGGTGGTCCTCCTAAACGTCACCGTTCTGACTTCGGTAAGCTAAATTTCTCTTTTTTTTTCCGCTCTGAGTTTCTACACTTGGAATCAAATCTCAATGTAGCTCTTTTGTTAGTGGGCATTGTTTGCTGATAGTCATACAGAATAATGAACAGTGTTGTAAGTCTAAAAATTGCCTCTTTGCCATGAAAACAAAACCTCTTCTTATTTTTCTTAAACGATGAGCTACCGTATGGTTTGGAAATATATGATTCTCTTCTAAGGTATCATTTTGTATGGCTCTTATTCAGAATTTCTTTTAGTATATGTATGTATTTCTTGAAAATTGCTCTGTACTTTTGTTTTATACGAGTCTTGATCTAATTTGTTCAAAATATGTTTGCGGTTGAATGGTTCTGTAAAGATAAGTGTATGTATCCCACCACATTGAATAGTATAGAGAGTTTGTTACAACTTGGTTAGAGTAGTTTAGTTTGTTACATTCAGTTTGTATATAGACATGTACATGTACATTCATTCTAAGTTGATGAGAAAATACACCTTTATTTCTCCTCTTTCTAAATATGATGCTATGTTAAAGAAGTTTGAGTGTTTGACCATCAAACTGGTGCTATGTAGTTGCAGATAGTGTATCTCGTGTACTTCTTTTTTTGTGTGTCATGTGGTCCAGATTTTTATATATTGCCATACCTATCGATTTGTGAGTATTTTTCTCCTTGTAGAAGGTACACCATATGTGATGCCTTCAGGCGGTATGCACAGTTATTTATCACGGGATGAGGATCGAGGTATCCCCCATTCAGTAAAGGATACCAGAACTATTGGTTCAGCTTATGACCAGTACCTGAATAATGTGCTACAATCCTTGTATACTTGGTCTCTTCTTTCTTCAGTGAACTGAAACCTTTTCCCTGTTTTGTAGCAAACGCCTTCTGTGCCATCTGAAGAAGCTGGGCCATTTAATGGTGCTGGCATGGGACGACAAGGAGGTAACAACATGATGCCTGGTCCGCCCATGGGTGAGCTCATGGCTGGGCGTGGTGGGAGTTTCCCTTCAGATTTCAGGCCAAATGGTCGGGCTATTGGTTTTGGTCAGCTGGATTAAGTTGGTAGGCCAGGCCGGGAACCACTTCCTCCGGATGTATCCAACACTCTATATGTTGAAGGACTTCCTTCTAATTGCTCAAGAAGGGAAGTATCACGTATCCTATCTAATGACTCATTACAAAAATGTACTTAACACCAATATTTATTTCCTCACTTAAGAATGTTTTAAGCTGTTCACTGTCCTTAACTGTATTTCGGCCTTTTGTGGGATATAGAGAAGTAAGACTTGTGACCAAAGATTCAAAACATGTAAGATTCACTTGTTCCAACTAGAAGCATTGTTGAAAATACTCAAGTCTCATAATTTCATTAATTTTACTTTCTAAGCAGAGGAGTGGAGATCCTGTTGTTCTTTGTTTTGTTGATTTTGAAAACCCTGCCTGTGCAGCAACTGCACTGAGCGCTTTGCAAGGTAACCGAGATTCTCTCTACTTAGGGGATTGTTAATATTTCGTCCAACACAGTTTGAGTTTGTTTTGCATTGGTTTCTTGATACTACCATCTTCATCTCAGTTATAAACACTATGCTAGAACATATACTGCATCAAAGTTTAACTGATGCAACTATACATTTGAAAGGCTATCGAATGGATGAAGCCGAATCTGATTTCAAGATTTTGCGGCTCCAATTTTCCAGAAACCCAGGTCCAAGACCAGGACAACGTGGAGGAAGAAGGTGATCAGTAAGTGACATTTGAGGTACATCGACCAAATGATAACTTATTGTTTCTTGCTTCCATCATCCCTCCTGCAAGTAGATTCTACATGAACCCAAACACACTCAATCATATGCTCAAGGAGTGGTCTCACTCAAAGCAACAGAGATGGATGGAGAGACACAAGAGTCCAGGAGATGAGGTGATTGAAACCTAAAGTCTTTCTCTCTCACTCAATTTTATTTTACCATCTCCTGGATAGATTTTGTGCATGATCTTATTAATGCTATCAATCAAAGCCCGAAAATTTATTACAATCTTTTGTTTTCTTTGTGGGGATTATACGGAAATGGGACTTCAATAGAAGTCTTAGGAAGCAGTAGTTGTATTTGTTCATTTATAATCTTAGGACAAAATTCAAAATAGTGGCTCATATTACTCTTCTTTATCTAGTCAAAATTTCATCTCCATCAGTTAAATGCACTGTCTGAAATATAATCCCTAGAGTGGGAATTTGCATGTCGTGTATATATTAGCAATTAAAAACCATGAGTGATTTTACTTTCAAAGAAAAAGTTCTATTCACTAGAGCTTTTAGTTGCTTTAGCTTCCTCGTAATATTATTAGATATACCTTTTAAAAAGTTAGAACTTTGTATCTAGGATGTTAAAGGTTCTAATATCTAATCAACTAGCAAATCAACGTAGAAATTTTACAAAAAGATAAGAAATCAGTGCCACTAGGATTTATTTGGTTTGGTTGACCAAATTCCACACTGATGGGATCGGCGATGAAGAGAGGTGGGTATATTCGATATCCAAAGAGAGCAGATGCTTTTTTTCGCGTCCGACTTTAGATTTTTTTTTTGGCTTTTATGTTTCATGCATAATTCAAGAAACTTCATGTTCTTGTCCACGTTAATAAGTTAGCAGCAATGTACAAATCAATCTTTTCCTTTTTTGTTTTATCTATCTTTTACGAAGCAGTAGATTGCGACTTTTGAGACAAGATTTGATTTCGTAATAAACTGATCATATTTGCACATGTCTTTGTGATATTATTGATATTGGGTAAAGCCGTGAAGCCTTTAACAAAACAAAAACAACAGGGTAAAGGTTAAAAAAAAGAGAGTACGTCCTCTATAACGTTAAAAAAAAAGTACGCCCCTTGTCTATGATAGCTATAGAACACAATAATACGTTACTAATTCATGTAAATTTGTATTTATACAGATAGAAAATTGAAATAACATTCAAGAGAGTTAAGATGAAGAGAATGATGAGAACTTGAACCAAAAAAAGAAGAAGAAGATCTGATGATGAGAATAGTAAATGGTGAATCAGAGGTAAGTAACCTTTCTCCCTATATGTATCAATTAAATGTTTCTAATGAATTGCTCAACGTTGAGAAATAAATAAATATATATATGTTCGCAGTTTTGTAAAATGTATCTACTGTTTTGGGGTTTTTTTTTTCCTCAACAAGGTATTGCTTTTAGCCACTAGTTTGGAAACTAAAACTATGTTAATCAATTGAGAGGTGGCTTTCAAAAATTAAAATACTACTACTATGTTAACTAATTGAGAGGCGTACTGGCTTTAAATATGCCATCGGTAGTTAGTTTGTATCTATTTTATTGGTTTTGTTTTCCTCAACAATGTACATATTGCTTTTAGTCACTGGTTTGGAATATCATATAATTGAGAGGTGGCTTTAAATAATTGACCCCTTACCAATTTACCATGATAATAATTTGATGACATTTAAATATAGCATTTTATTGAAGATATTCTTGGCTCAAACAGAGACTAATGTTAGTAGACCGATCGGGTTATGAATAATGATTGAGGACATAGGGACAAGTTGTTAAAAAACAATTAGATTAGTACACTTTATACAATATTGATTCAAGTGGATCTAAAAGTCTCTGTTCTACATTACCTAATATATAAAAACACTATGTTATTTCACTATGTTATTTTAAGTATGATTAATGTAGATATAAAATAAATTACAGATTAGTGATTCTAAGAGATCTTACACTGGAAAATATCCTCTCAACTGTACTTTCTTCACTGTGTTTGTTTGGGTACTCTTGTATTTTTAGAACTCTCCTGGAAACAATGACATCTACATTTGTCATATTGTGATATTTCTTATTTTCAATATTCATTCGTAGTAGCTAGTTTATCAATTACCATTACATACTATGAATTAATTTGTCATAGCAAATAGTTATGGAATAATTAACAAATAAAATGGGATTAGAGAGAACCAAATCATGACGTCTAGGGACCATCTTGTGAATAAACAAATGAAATGAGTTTTGAATTAAACCGAATATTATTTTAACTTTTTTGTCAACCGAATACTAATTTGGACGAGAGTCTTGTGTCTATTTTGTTATTGATATTATTTACGTACGTTTTTTTTTTTTCTTTTGTGTCAAAACTCTAGCTATTATATACTGTTATTGATATTTTATTCTACGACGATGGACGAAATGATGTTTTTACCTCAGCATTTTCTGACGCCCACAGGTCACAGTTCACACTGTATCGGATCTGACTAGCTACTTTACTAGCAAAAGACAAATCTAGTTGAAATTTTAAAAGTAAATGTTTGTTATACTTCGTTGTCTCTTTCTTAGGGCATCCGCAGTGGTGTATCTTTGCATGGGGTGTATCTATTTTAAAATATAGAAATAATGTAAAAGTTGTTTCTCTCTTCACACCCGGGTGTAAGTTTACATTCGGTATAAGTCATTCTATCTCTCTCTTTCTTTCTCTCTCTTTTCTCTCTCACTTTAAATTATAATAATAAAAATCTTACACCACTCCTTCACACTTACACCACTGCGGATGGTCTTAGGGTGTGACTGGTTGTTATACATAGAAGAAAAGAATTGGAAAGAAAAAATAATTCTTCTCAATTACTCTATCAATCCTCCAATCAAGAAGAATTTATTCACCAACAAAATTAATTATTTTCTTCTCAATTCTTCTACTTTTCAGTAAAAGCAACTAAAAATTTCCTTCCATAAATACATAGGATACAAATTTCTTCAACTACTTATTTTTCTTTTCTTCTCATTTCTTCTCTTATTTTTCTTCTCTTTTTTTCTTAAATCACACCAGTCACACCCTTAATGTCACGTTAGTATATAGTACTAATATTTTTATTTTACTGAAATATGAATAGTGTGAACAAATTTTGTGGTCAAATGGTGATAATCGTGGACAATGACATTTCCTTAGCTCCTACAGTCAGTCCTACTATGAATTATTGCAAAGTAGACGATGGACCATGGTGCCGCCGGGGGTTTTGGAGCTGGGGAAGTATGTGTGTTGATCTGAACGATTTCTCGTATGTTAGGGTTTAGTGGAAAGTGGAAACAGACGGGTCTCGAATCAATGGAACCTAGATTTTAATATTTGATGAACTGAGGTACAGAGATTTTTTTTTTTTTTTTTGCACTTGATTTTGAGTTAGAAGTAGTTCGGATCGATGATTATGTTAGTACGTACGTTGAAGCTCATTGACTAGTTTTTCATGAATAATTTTTTTTTATAGTATATATTATTCGGATCGATAAAATAATAAATATTGTTTTAGATTAATTATTTTTTCATTAGTCCTAGAAAAAGAATAACGCCGTTTGAATTCTAATATATTTTTGTAGGAAATATATATAATAAACAATGTATACAGAACATAACTCTAACAATAAGTTCTTTTGACAATACATCGTATCTTTATCTCGTACCCTTGATTTTTATTTAGCTTTTCGATAAAAACATACACTTGGCTGGCTTTAACCTTTTACCAAAAAAAAAAAACATACACTTGTTATTTCACATGAGAGATAATTGAACATATATACATTTCATCGTAATATATAAGAGACGTAGTTAAAACTTGAATTTAAAGATGTGTCGGCAGAATATTTCGAAGATATTTTCTACCTGTCTTTCTTATAGAATTCTAAATAAACTACTACAGTATTAACCAATGACTTTTCAAAGTGTACATTACATGTGACACTAAATAATCCCTTCATGAAACAAGAAAAAATGAGCTAATTATTTGATAAGATAACATAGTAGTATCATTTTGCATATATATATTTTCCAGCTGAAACATTTTTACACCACAGAACATCAAACTACAATAAAAAAAAGACGTATATATTAGCCCTTGTTTGAAAAATCGCTAGGCGCTAGTCGGGCATTCGGCATGGGCTTAGCGATTAATCGGAAAATCGGATTAAAATCGGGGATTAATCGGAGATTAGTTTTAGGGTTATTTTAATATTTTTAAAATATATTAATTCAATATTGTTTTCAAAATTACAGTAAAAATAAATTTTTATGATTTTTATTAAAATTTGAACACAAGTTATGTAAAACATCACAAACTCCCAATTCAAATGATTGAATAACAAAAATAAAATGTTTTTTTTTTATACTTGCAATCTAAAAAATAATCGGGGTATGTAAGATTAGGCGGAAAATAATCGGATTAGGCGGAAAATAATCGGATTAGGCGGAGAATAATCGGGTTACTGATTTTTTAGGGGATTAGTCATTAATCGAGGCGGAGAGGGTGGGCCTAGCGATTAAGCGGGGAGTAATCGAAACTAGGCGGGGATTTTTAGAACAGGGATATTAGCCAAGCCGCCTGGTCCCATAAAATCAATAAATCAACAAACTTCTCCAAACGCTTTACATAACGACGGACAAAATAGTAATTCAAAATAAATAATTACGATGGTAAAAATATTTTAAAATTGAGATAAATTATATATAATTTTTTTTTGTTTTTTTTTGTTAAAGAGTAAAAGAATTTCTACAAAATTAGGAGACGATTAGACTTTTTGCATGGGATTTTGCTTATATGTCAGGCATTGGTAATGGTATCATTCAAAGCAACATACGTCTATTTCTGAAAACGATAAAAAAAAAAAAAAAAGAGTTGTGCACTAATTCAATTCAGTTGTTGTGTACTTGTGTTTGATATAGTTTCATCATACAGTAGTAGTCTAAACGTGAACTAATTTTTTAGTTGCTATTTATTTTGTTCATATTATCTTCTATAGCGAAAACCACCATCCACCAAACGCTAATCTCAGATCTAGCTAGGATTCTAGATTAGTTAATTTTTCTTTTCTTTTTGTTCCAACAAATTTGGTTCAGCTAAACAGATACTTCTGTATTTTAAAAGTTCCAGTTAAACAAAATAATTTTTTCAACTATATATATCTTGTCCCAGTAATGTTTTCAAAGATACATATATAGCATTTTTTTTTTCTACAGAGTTTTGAGATAAATTATATATAAATTTTTAAAATTGACTAACAAATTAAATAAACCTCATTATTATTATTAATTTGTTATTATATTGTTTACAGCAAACCTCATTATTTCTTCTTCTATATAGACCCTAATTATTTGTTTTTTTACCAAAATGT